TCTAAAAGAATATCACATTAAAATTATATAGTTCTTAGAATTTTCACATATTATTTAGCCCAAAAAGCCTAATAAAAAATAAACAAATAAAATGGTTGAAATAATATAAAAATGTTTATGATTAAATTATGAATTTCAATTTTCTTAGAAAATGTAGTGTAATCCTTTACACATTATTGAGAAAAATCTAAAATAATTAATCAGTAAATATAAAAAAATTTAAAGTAAGTTCCGAATAATCTAAATTTATAATAAAATATTTATCAAATAACTTATTTAATAAGTATCAATCTATGATTAAAATACATAATGTAATTTATCTTTCCAAATCAATTTATGATAAGAATTAGAAAACTGAATAATAATTAATATAAAAATAGTGGATACCATTGAATTATCTGAGGCACTCCTATTCTGTCTTAAGTTTAAATAATCTTAAGAAGTTATGGATTCAATATAAATTATATTAACGTGATTATAAAATTGAATTTGATTTCGAAAGGAGAATAAAATTTGACTATCTTTTCTTTATGATATTATTCCTTTTAAACAAATGATCTCCAATTTTCCCTATTAGAGGACAATTCTAAATTAAAATAGTATAAAATTTCAAAACGTGATTCTTTACATTTAGATTACCTAGACTTTTAGTAGAGAATTAATAAATAGTTTTTAAAATAAATAAAGAGGATAAAAAGTAAATTTAAAGATACTTAAAAATAATAATAAATGAAAATAAATACTAATATAAAATATATATACATAAATATGAATCATTTTCTAAAATGGATAATATATTGAATATTTCAATGTTCAAATTCTTTTTTGAGATTCCACATTTTCATTTATTTTGATTCATTATCCTTAGTTACTAAGTATTAACCATTATCACTTAATGCTTAATAGAAAAACCATGTCTTAAAATCAATTTTTTATACATACTTTAAGATTAATTAATCATTATTTGTATTATTTTTATTAGAATTATTTTAATCTTCAATTTTTATGATGAATAGTTTCTCACCTTTTTTGATTGTCAATATATTCTATTTATTTTTATATAATAATGTTTAACGAATTTATATGTCATCTTTGTATTTTTTAAGTTGAACTTATTAAATTTTATTGTATTTTCCTTCTTATTGTAATACATATAAATTAAGAGTACTTTCACTAGAAGATTAAAATATAAATCTATCATCTTTTAAAAAACTCACTCCAGCACCTTCAAGTGATTCAACATCTATTTTTTATTTGACAAACCAATTATTTGTATTTATACTTTTTTCAATAACTAAAATGAGTGAATTTCTATCACAAGAGATTACTTAATTTCCAATTTCATTTATAGATATACTACAAACTGAACTTTTAAGCTCTATTATTTCTTGAATACATATCCATTATAAAGATGTTTACTATTTATTTAGAGATTTTTATATTGACCAAAATCTGATTGTACTTTTATAGTCTCCAGAAATAATTAAATCTTCATTAAGTGGATGAATAGTTAGACATGTAATCATTCCTCTATGACCTTAAAGTTTTTATATATATTTTGTTGTTCCTAAAATTGTAGGCCAAATAATAATTGAATAATCACCAGAGCCTGAAATAAATTATTCTCTCAAATTAAAAAATTTAAGAACACTAACACAAGATTCATGTTTCTTAACGCTGGAAAGGCTTTTAAAAGATTTTCCATTATAACCAATTATTAATATAGTTGAAAATACATTTGTTAAAATTAAAGACCCACTTTAGTTAATAGCTATGGAGTAACTTGGATATTTCATTTTAAATGTAGATGAATCCTATAATTCATAAAGAGGTTGATTTAACTTTTTTTAATTATTTCCCATTTCTAAATAAATTGTGATTTAATTTTATTATATATTTTACATTATAACTAATAGTTTATGGAAATCTTAAATTATAGAATGACTATCAATATCTTTATATTTCTATTTATTCATTTTTTTTGATTTGATGAGAATATGGTAAATATAATAATATATTTGAACCTTTTTAATGATATTTCAACAATAATTTAATATAATGAATCAATCAAAAAGAATAGGTTTGAAATCTTTTAATATTTTATAGGTAGACTCATATTAGAAAGAAAAAATACTGATAAATATATGAGATATTAGGTTCAAAAGTCAGAATCTTTTGGAGCCAAAGATATGTAAACTTAACTTAATTTATTCAAATCTTAATAAAATAACATAGATGAAATACAAAAAGTTACCTAAATTGTTGTCATAATAATGTTTACTATTGTAATGTTTTGGAAATTCATTAATAGAAAGGATAGCAATTTAATTTATTAATATTAAGATTAATCTTCTAAAAGAAGTAAATAAATTATCAATGATAATATTATCTAATATATGTTCATAAGATTTATTCAGAAATATTCAAAATCTAATATATTTTAAGTAAAATTATTGAACATATATCAAGTAAACTTTAAATTTAATTTAATCAATCAATTAAAAGTAGCTTATTAAATATATCTATATTTTTTTAATTTCTTTAGATAACAAAAATTAGTCACATACAAAAATTGAAAAAAAGTTACTGTAATATATTCTTCATTAAGATATAAGAATTTTGATTCCTTTATAAAAATGAGACCATTATAAACAAAAAATAAATCTATCGGCTGAAAAATAATATATACATAATCTCTTAAAGAAAATTATAAAAAAGTATTAACTAAAAGGATATCATTAGATTTTTGTCTTTAGAGACTGTTTTCAAAGAATAATAAAAAAAGAAGACTATAGATTTTTTCATATAATAAACAATATATTAAAATGCTAAAAATAATATTGTTATCTTGTTTTGTTAGGGAGCCAGTAATATAAATTACAATTATAGCGTTTTTTGTGTATATCCTTCTTTCCACAAAGATCGTCAATATTATAAAAAATTAATTGCTTTTACTACCTTTGATATCACATTCAATATATATTTTATGAATATCTAATGATTATTTTTTCTAATAATTTTATTTAGAAAATCTTAATCTTTCTGGTTTAAATATTCCTTTACAAAAGTATGTTATCTAAATGATGAACTTAATAAATAAATTTTGTAAATTAAAACAGTTTTTGATTTAAAATTGATATTTAGAGTCTCAAAATGATTTTTTTTTGATTTAATCATAATCCAAAAGCAAATTTTAGTTAGTATTAATTCTTTTATATATATAACTAAAGACTTCTTTGTAATTTTAATATCAAATTGTTAATTTGTTTAAGAATATATTATAATACAGATAATAATGTTAAAAACATCATAATGGTTAATTTGAAAAGAATTAAAATATTGTTTGAATAAATTTATTTATTATGATGATATTTAAGTAAAATTTACAAAATAAAACCGTTACAAAATAAATTTAATTAACAAAAATTAATTATATAAAAATAATCACCTGTTTTGCAAATTAGAATAAAAAAGCATAAAAGATAAAGTCATATGGTAAATTGATAATTATGTGATAAATAAAAGGTTTAATTAAGATTCACATATTAAGATAAAAGAGGTTTATTGTTTAAGATTGATGACTTATTTTAAGTATTAATTATTCGATACGTTTTAAATTTTAATATTGTTATTAATTAAAATCATTTAAGTAACTATGTGCTTTAAAATTGCTTTCATATTTGCTACATGGTAAAATATTGAAAATATGTTAGTATTTATTAAGGCATTAGTGATTGTGTTTTTGATATCATCACAAAACCAGATACAGAATAAAGAATTATTGAATAAGACTTAAGAAATTTAGGAACAAAAAGTTATGGTTGGGGAGTATGGACAAAATATGAATAAGGATATGGAAGTCCAGAATAATTAAGTTAAAAAACATCAAGTATGCATNTCCTTTAAATTTAATTTAATCAATCAATTAAAAGTAGCTTATTAAATATATCTATATTTTTTTAATTTCTTTAGATAACAAAAATTAGTCACATACAAAAATTGAAAAAAAGTTACTGTAATATATTCTTCATTAAGATATAAGAATTTTGATTCCTTTATAAAAATGAGACCATTATAAACAAAAAATAAATCTATCGGCTGAAAAATAATATATACATAATCTCTTAAAGAAAATTATAAAAAAGTATTAACTAAAAGGATATCATTAGATTTTTGTCTTTAGAGACTGTTTTCAAAGAATAATAAAAAAAGAAGACTATAGATTTTTTCATATAATAAACAATATATTAAAATGCTAAAAATAATATTGTTATCTTGTTTTGTTAGGGAGCCAGTAATATAAATTACAATTATAGCGTTTTTTGTGTATATCCTTCTTTCCACAAAGATCGTCAATATTATAAAAAATTAATTGCTTTTACTACCTTTGATATCACATTCAATATATATTTTATGAATATCTAATGATTATTTTTTCTAATAATTTTATTTAGAAAATCTTAATCTTTCTGGTTTAAATATTCCTTTACAAAAGTATGTTATCTAAATGATGAACTTAATAAATAAATTTTGTAAATTAAAACAGTTTTTGATTTAAAATTGATATTTAGAGTCTCAAAATGATTTTTTTTTGATTTAATCATAATCCAAAAGCAAATTTTAGTTAGTATTAATTCTTTTATATATATAACTAAAGACTTCTTTGTAATTTTAATATCAAATTGTTAATTTGTTTAAGAATATATTATAATACAGATAATAATGTTAAAAACATCATAATGGTTAATTTGAAAAGAATTAAAATATTGTTTGAATAAATTTATTTATTATGATGATATTTAAGTAAAATTTACAAAATAAAACCGTTACAAAATAAATTTAATTAACAAAAATTAATTATATAAAAATAATCACCTGTTTTGCAAATTAGAATAAAAAAGCATAAAAGATAAAGTCATATGGTAAATTGATAATTATGTGATAAATAAAAGGTTTAATTAAGATTCACATATTAAGATAAAAGAGGTTTATTGTTTAAGATTGATGACTTATTTTAAGTATTAATTATTCGATACGTTTTAAATTTTAATATTGTTATTAATTAAAATCATTTAAGTAACTATGTGCTTTAAAATTGCTTTCATATTTGCTACATGGTAAAATATTGAAAATATGTTAGTATTTATTAAGGCATTAGTGATTGTGTTTTTGATATCATCACAAAACCAGATACAGAATAAAGAATTATTGAATAAGACTTAAGAAATTTAGGAACAAAAAGTTATGGTTGGGGAGTATGGACAAAATATGAATAAGGATATGGAAGTCCAGAATAATTAAGTTAAAAAACATCAAGTATGCATGTGTTAACAGAAAAATATTCAGAAAGAATTATATTGTCATATTTTATTGAAATAGACAGAGAGAAATTAATATTTAATCATCGATTACTGATATAACATGGAGGAATGTTGCAAATTAGAGAGTTGAAAATTGATGTAGCTATAGCTAATAAAAGATGGGTTTTTTTCTATTTTTGTTTCAAAGAGGATTTAAATTCTTATAGTATGTTTTTATATGTAGAAAATGATGTTTTTCATGTAAGTATGTCATCTGGGGGACCTTATGATATAGATGATTTGATTAAAGACTATTATTTAGGATAAACCATTAATGTAAATTATTAAATATAAATAGCTAATAAATCCATTTGATGAATCAATAAATTATAATTTAAGTGTATTTATTGGATTGATTAGCGATATGGATTTAAGATAGGGAGAGTCCAGTTATTATCCAGATATTTAGACTTTTTTAGATAGTTTAGAATCAACAAATTGTGTAAGGATTTTTGAATGTTCAGGAGAAAAAAAAACAATAGGTTTTAACAATGCGATTTTTGATGATTAAAGTGCTCGTATATTATCAAAATTAAAATATGAGAACTCTCGATTTATCCTTAGTGGATGGGTGAGAGTTTCTTAGGTTCCATAATATCAATAGAGAACTTTAGCTCTATTTAGAATGACTTTGAAGAATAAATATGAAGATGATAAATATTATGGAGATAAAGCATTATTTTGGTAATATTTGCAGAACTCTGATTAACCAGATTCATCAGGATTAATAGTGACTACATATCATGAAAATGATCCTTTTATCCCTTATACAACAAATTATAATGATATGATAAGTTATTTGAGTTCTTATTATAGTAAGGCAATAACTGAATGGCATTGGTTTATTTATGAAGAAGGAAGGAATGGAGTTAATAATATTTAGAATACAATTTTTTGGGGAAATGGAGGTCATAATAAAAAAACAGATATAAATTAATTAAAAAAAACTCATTTGATTGAAACAACTTTATTTATGACTTTAGGAGGAGATAAATTTTATAATTTTATTGGGTAAATCTAATAGATTGAGTTTCAATATTGCCATAACAACGATATTTAGTATTTTATAAGTATGAGAATTCTATTTCATAATAGAATGTCATTATAGTTGCTCAAGTTGTTTTGGCCCTGCAGAAACCCATTGTATAACCTGTCCAGATGAAGAAATTACAAATCGAGTATACAATACAGGTCAAAGTAGTTGTGGATGTAAGACATCTTATGTTGAAAATGAAGATACTCAATGCATTAGTAATATATTATAATATAACTTTTAGAAAGTCAAGAATATTTTTAAGATGTTACTATTCTTGAAGGAGAAGAAAATAATTTATTTGCTTGTGGTTTAGGTTAATTTTATGTTTAATTTGGATAAGTAACTTATTGTGCTGATTGTCCAGGTAATAGGGAACCAGATTTCATTAATAGAAGGAAATTGTTTTGTGTTGATTGTCTTAATTAATAGTACACATGGTATTAAAATCCAATCTGTACAGAAGACTATGAATAATTAATTTCAAGTTCAACTAGTGCTTATTAAAAGTAAGCTAGAATACCAATAGATTATGAGTATTACCTTATAAATTTCAATGATTAAATGAACAAAATTGAAATAGAATTATGTTAAGGTTGTTTAGGGGAGACAATTGCAAATTCTAATTATATTGTAAAGTAAAAATTGGAGAAAGAAATAAAAATTGAATGCAAAACATGTTATTTAATAATTGATGGAGAATGTATTAATGTTAATAATAATTGTAATTCTTGTGATTCAGATAAATGTATAGAATGTTAATAAGGTTATACACTCTATTAAAATTATTGTTATAAATGTCCAAATATTTGTCCAAATGATTGTATATTTGATGGATAAAAATTTGGTTGTTTAAAATGTGACTTAGGTTATTACTTAGATACTGTAAATAATGAATGCTTATAATGTGGAGCTAATTGTATAATTTGCGAACCAGGGATACCAGTAGATGGAGATTTCATTTAAATGAAATGTTTTAAATGTATTCATGATAAAGACTTTTTTATTGATGCTGATCAGATTAATTGTAAACCTAAAACAATGCCTAATTGCATTTATTAATATCAAGAATTTTATCATCGCTAAAATTTATATAATTATAGCATTAAATTTGCTTTTTAAACAACTTGGGACTTCAATTTTTCTAAACCTTCCTCACAGTATTTTGACAGATGTGCACTTTGTGAAAAAGGTTTTATATATAGCTTTTATGAATACGAATTTGGCAAGGATAAATGTATGCCAGAGTCAGAAATTACTGATTTAGATATCCCAAATTTTGATGCTCTTCAAGTTGCCCCAGAACCTGAAGATGATCATTTCTAAATAATGTTGTTTCATGAAAATTCTGATTAATTTGGGTATATTGTTAAATTTATAATGATTCTCGGAGATTATATGACAGCAGTTGTTGGTGGAAAAACTTATAATGTTACAGTAATGTGTAATATTGATAGAAAGGTCAAAAAAAGTTTAGATGTTACTCCATAATATGAGAAAGATTTATTATCTGAATGTTCTAATAGCAATTGCAAATATTGTATCAAAAATTATGTATGGTTTAATGAATATTGTATGTTCTGCAATCAGGGTTATTATGCTGACATGCATTCAGGTTAATGCTATTAATGTTTAGCTAAATTACATTGTAAAACATGTCAATAATAACATAAAATTTACAAGGATGGATGGAAATGGGAAATCAGAGCATATTATCGTGCAAGAACTTGTGCAGACTATTGTTTTAGCAGTTTTAGTATGAAGTGTGCCAGTACTAATGCAGATGATTATGAAGTCTATTGTACATCTTGTGAAGAAGGATATGAATTATTAAATGAAAAATGCATTCAAAAATGCAGTTGTTCTTAATGTATTATACAAAAAGATCGATATGTTTGTGTTGAATGTCCTTCATCTTTAATAAATAATAATTAACCTATTTAAACCTTAATCAATAATAAATGTACTGAATGTCCTGCTAATTGTGTTTTATGTCGAGAGCTAGATGATGAGGAAATTAAATAAATCAATCCTTACTTCAATCCATAATATAGTTAACTTGCTATTTATTCCAAATCCTGTATTAAGAGTTTTGCACCTGATAACTCTATTATATAACATTAATATATATATCGTGATCCAATATTAAATACTTAGATTTTATGTCAGCAATTCTAAAAATGTTATTAATACTTAGAATAATAATATACAATTTATTGCAGTCAATTTGCATATGATTATGATCTTGATTAGGCTATTAACAAAAATGCCTTTCGATACAAGAATATGGCATTATCTCACTTATTTTCTGAAACTCATTTCTCAATTGAATCTGAAAAGCTTTTTGATGAACTTAATAAGAAATCTATCAAATCAGCTAAATATATACTGAATTTTAAATATTAGAATGACGAACCATGTATTATTCCACCTAATTCTGTGATCTTCTCAAATCTTAGAAGAAATGTCTTTACTCTTTAATATTTAGAAATTATACTTAATGGAGACATAACAAAGAAGACTTTCATTTAAGGTGCATTTTATCTTCAAGATTTCACTAAGATTACCATCAAAAATTTTTAAATTGTAAAATCAACTAAATTAAGCTCTATTAGTATTAGTCAGCTTAATAGAGTTAGTGTAAATCTTGAAAATTTTATGATAAAGGATTCAGATTCTTATAGATTTTAAATAAAAATCAAAGACCCCCAAAATATTTTAGTCAGTAAGTTTTAAATTATAAATTCTAAAATAATTGATACATAAGGGATTATTGCCTATTCATTCACAAAAAAGATTATTGATAGATTTGAATTCTTGGCAAATGATATTACACTTATAAACTCTTAATTTTAAAACACTTAAATATTCGTTTAAATGTTATAAAATAATTGCAATAATCAACTTCATGAAATCATTTAAACTAAATCAATTAAAAATTAATTTACTTCATCCTCATTATTTGAAACCTATTTTCCTTTATCAGAAAGAGAGTCAAGCTTCAAAATCTAAGGATTCTCTGTTGATGGTGATATCTTGACAAATTCTAGTTATGCTATACTATAAGGTGCTCTTGATGTATTATTATAAGACTTGACAATTCAAAACAGCATCACTTATGAAGGAACTAAATTATTTTAATTGCCTTTATTTGTTATTAAGAATTTCTACTTTCTTGGAAATAGTCTTATGAGTAGTGACAATAGAGTAATTACAAATTTAATAAATATTGTATATTCTGATTTGGATTCTATTACTTCAAACATATTAATTTTCGATAATATAAAATTCTAATAAAATTACTATGTGAGTAGTAAAGGTTTCATAGAAATAATTCAAAGTAGTAATTTTCGATTGTTGGAACTAATAATTACTGATCTTACATTAATTAAGAATGATATGATATTAGAAAGAGCATCATCAGAGATGGTTATTACTTTAGAAAACTCTACAATTTATTTGGACATAACAAAATTATAAATGACAAAGGTATTAGTTGAGAGAAATTTAAATTTACCTGAATTTACAATAAAAAATGCAAAGAATGTCGTTATTGACTAATTTAAAGGATAGTTGATTTAATAATTTAATATACTCCATCCTTCATAATCATGTCTTTTTTCTAAAGACGAAGTTAGATAAACAACTATGTTGTTCCTTTTTAATATACTGGATATATAAATATCAAATTTAGATATGTTTAATCTTACATCTATAAATTTACCTTTGATTTTAATAAAATCTATTGAAAAATAAAATAAAAGATAATAGGAAAAGATCACTTTATATAATTGTAAATTCACTAAAAACATACTTTTAATTACTGAGATTTCAGAATAATTGGGAGTACTAGCAATAATATCAGAACAAGAATAAACAATAGTTTTTTCAACAATATCATCAGAACAAAATATTCAACATAGTTATATTGAAGACATTGCTTTTATTTCATCTTCAACTATTTTATTAATTACTCCTTACTCAACTGTAGAGATGAGAGATTCAGTCTTTAAAAATAATATTGTTACAAATGGATAAAATTCTAATTTAATTTTGATTGGTAAATCAGTTTCATTACTGGATACATAATTTTTAGATCAAAACAACATAGAATTCTAATCTTTTTCACAACATTTAAATTGGGGATTTTCATAGAATGATTAGGTATATTTGGAAGATTTAATCGAATCTTTTCCAATATATTCTAAAGGAGGAGCTGGTTATATAAAAGGTTCTGAGATCTTAATGAATAATGTATATGTTAAAAATACTAAAGCATTATTCGGAGGTGCTTTTTATCTGACTCCTTAATCTTTAGGATCATTGAAATTGATAAATAGTTAATTTTTCAATTGTAACTCTGTAACAACTAATTCAGAAAGATCTCAAGGAGGCACATTGTATATTGATTCATCTTAATCTCAATTAGACCTATTAATATATAATACAACTGTAACAAATTCATATAGTCGAAATGAAGGAGGATGCATTTATATTGAACCTTCAAGAGTGAATAGTTCAATATAATTTTAAGATTTTAGTATTTAGGATATATATTCTTTATTGAATCCATTTTTAAGAATACCAATTAGTTTTACAAGTTCTTCTTTATTGTTAATGATTCAATTTTAAAATGTACAAATTATAAATACTTACAATGGCTATTTAAGGTATTTAGAGGAAATAGTAGATCTAAAACAAAGTGAAATATTGAATCAAAAAAATAACTATTTAATCTCAATAGATTAAGGTAATGTTACAATGCAAAATTGTTTATATAAAAATATCTTTAATTATGGATTTTTGAATTGCTAAGGATGCCAATAAATAATTTTAACAAATGTAGAGATTAAGAATTTTACAATTTTGTCAGAATCAATAGTCAACATAATACTAAATAAAAGTAATTATTACTAAAATTGTTTTAGAATATTTTAGTACAATTAAATTAAATGAGATATCTGTTGATAATATGTTAGAATTTAATGGTTAGGCGGATATTCCTTAAGAAAAGGTAGAAATTATTGTAAATACTTTATATAAATGCAATTCAAATTTCGTGGTTCCAAAAACTATAGATATATTTTATACTGATCAGAGAAAATAAATAATTTCACTTTATAATTTTTATAGGATAATTAATGGAAGATAATAGTTGATTACAATTTTTAAAATTGATCAAGTATCTTAGTTACATTATCTATTTTTTTAAACCTTCAATATGGAATAAAATTATTGTTCAAGTTGTGAAAGTAGTATATTTTAAATTACAAATATTGACAAAGCAGACTCAAATAATTTGATTTATATCATAGATTCAACCTTCAAAAATAATACATGTGGCAAATTTGGTTGTGTTGTCATATCATCTAAAGATGAAAAATCTATTCAAATAGAAAATTCAAATCGAATTTTAGAATCTGATTAAACTATTAGTAATATCAATGCAGAAGTGAAAATTTAAGACAGTGTTTTCATGGAGAATACTGCAACATATGGAGGAGCATTGTTGATTTCCTAAATTAACACACTTATCAATAATTGTATTTTTAACTAAAATGCAGCAAAGTAATCTGGAGGAGCCATCTACTATTAACATTAAGAAGGTTTCAAATTACATTTATATAATTCATTAATCACATACAATAATGCAAATGTTGGAGGAGGATTATACATGGGTAAATATTAGTTGAATGATCCTAAGACTTTGAATAATTACCTAAGAAATAATAAAGCTTAGTTTTTTGGAGATAATATGGCTGATAATCCTTCATAATTGACTGCATAAATTGGAAATTAATAACTTTTAACAAAGAGAATAATTAATACTAATGAATAAATTGTTGATTAAATCACTTTAAAAAATTATACAATAGGTTCAAACATCTACAAATATATAATGGTTCCAAGTGGACAAATCATATCTACCTATTAGTTTTTTGATGAAAATACTTAAAGTTTTATCAATTACAATTTTAGTTTAAGAATTATTCCTTTAAACAAACAATATGATAGAATTAAAAACTTAAATGGAACTGAATGTACTCTAAAAAGTCGTTAAATTTTAGATTCAAAATTAGGAGATTATAATTCAAGCTTAATAAATTTAAAGACTGTTATTTTTAACTAAACATCATAAGATTATAATTTAGATTCACTTATTGTGTATTTTAATCCAGATTTAAATGATAAAGGATATTTGCAACTAGAGATCTCATGTAATTCAATAGAAATTGGCTTGTATTCTAAAGATCCTCCATATTAATTAACTTCTTTTCAAACTAATTATTCTCTAATAATTGATTTATAAACATTCCCATGTAAAAGAGGAGAGTTCAAAAAACCAGATGGAACTTGTGTTTTATGTGATTCTCAATTCGATTAGTATAATATATAGGCAGGGGAATAATGTTAAATAAAAAATCAAATAACTATGGATGAAGTGAATGCAGCAAGAGTCAAATTAAAACCATTCTATTGGAGGCCTTATGAATTTAGTCATACTATTGAGTATTGTTAAAATTTACCTGAAAATTGTATAGGTGGCTGGAATCCTGGGAACAATCTATGTATTAGTGCACATATTGGTGCTCTTTGTGAATAGTGTGATATTTATAATATTAGAGGTGAAGGAAAATTTTCTACAAGTACAATATATAAATGTGGAAGTTGTGATAATATTGGTGATAATACACTAAAAATTGGTTTAATTAGTCTTTGGACTATGATTTCTATTTTAATATCAGTTAAAGGCACTGTAGATACTGCAAATAAAATAGATTTTGATAATAAATTATCAAAATTGAGGATATTTGCTAAAAATCCAAAGGCAGGATTTGGTGGAGTTTTAATTAAAGTATTGACTAATTATCTTTAAATTGTTGGAGCTATTGCAACATTTTAATTGTAATTACCAAGTATTTTGTAATCAAGTATTCGTTCTGTTAGTAATCCTGTTGAATCTATGAGTTTTTCATTAGATTGTTTCTTGATTACCATATCAAATATTGATATCATTTACTTTAGAATGATCTGGGCTCTTATCATGCCTATTTTATATATCATTAGTTTTTTATCTTTGTACACAATTTGGATTTTGATAAGTCTAACTAAAGCTAATAAAAGTGCCATAACAACAAGTGCTATATATCTATTCACATATTTATAACCTACTCTATTGGGAGGATTCATCTCGTTATTGTCTTTTAGGAAGATTTCAGATATCTATTGGATCCAAGGAAATGTTGCATATAGATATGATACTCAATCCCATTTTAATTGGATGATAACTTTTATTTTACCTTCTACTCTTTGTCTTGCTTTAGTGATTCCTATTTATATGTTTTTGAGTTTGTATTCAAAGAGAGATAAATTGACAGATGGTGAGACTAGGAAGATTTGGGGTTATTTGTATAATGAATATTCACAAAAGGCTTATTTTTGGGAGATTGTCAAGATTCTTGAAAAAGGATTCATGATTGTATTCTTAACCTTTTATGAGGATTTAATCATAATTAAGGCTGCAATGATCTTTATTATAACCTTTATTTATTCACTTTTAACAAAGAAATTCAAGCCTTATAAATTATCATATTTGAATTTTATAGATGAAATAAGCACACTTGTATGTGAAACTTCCATAGTTCTTGGAATGACTATTTATTCAGCTTCATCTTCTGATAACTAAGAAATAATTTGGCCTTTTTATCTCATTTTGATTAGCATAAATATTATCTTTATAATAATAATCATTTGGGAAATTATATTAGCCTAATTGGAAGATTAATAAGAGAATATTGATAAAGTTAGGGAGAAAATAAATAAGAAATTTCCAACATTATAACAAAAAAATTGGTTATGTCGTAGATTACTTACTAACAGGGGAGAACAACAAAGAAGAGTTAGAGATAGATTTTAAAAAATTAGATAATATCTAATGAAAATAGTCAGAGCCAATCCTGGAAGATATAATATGCCAAATATTTTTTAATTTGATATTAAATCAATTGAAAAAAATAAAGATTATAATGTAATTTAATTTATATGATAATAGAACTCTCCATCAAATTCAGACAAAAGAGAAACCTAAAATAATATTGATTAAATAAGTAAAACAAAAGTTTATCCAGAATTTCTAGTTGTTGATTAAATTGATTCAGAAAGATGATTCAAAATTAGATTTAAGAATTAAAATATTAATGAATAAATTATATTTTATTAATAATTATAAATGGTGAGCCTATTCTAAAATAATTGGATTGAATAATTGAATTTTGGCTAAATTATGTCAATTAATATTAATAATATATGATATTTTAGTTATTTTTGATAACTCTTATACCTTTTAGTTATTCTTACATTGATCTAGACACAAGTTTTACTAATAATAGATTTTCAGCTGCTGATATAAATGGTAAAAATAGTAATATTTAGGCTGGAAATTCACATATGAATTAACAAATAATAATGCTGTATCAGTTTTTGGTATGAGTTCGAATAGGAATACTGATTTAGAAAGAAGTGAATGTTTGACTAGTGATGGATAGTGTACTGATCCAAATGCAGTTTAATATGTTGGGTTAGGTATACTGGGTGAATATGCAGGAGTTTTTAAAACTTTTGAAAATTTACCTCCTCATTGTTAAATCTATTTTTCTGCAGATATGGCTATGTATTTAAATTGTTATGTTTTAGAAAAGGGCTTGGAATTTCAATATCAAAACTCTTAGTATCAATAGACACTTTACCTGTTTTATTTTATACAATAAATCCTTCAAATGATTAAATCTTTTATGAAGCAACTACATTATAAGGAGTCTTTTCTCATAGTTATCCATTTTTATTAATAAACTTTCAAACTGGATTCTTTGTAACTACAAAATCTATGGGAATTCGTAATATAAAAATTAAATATACACCATGTCCTCCTGGATGTTAAATCTGTTCAATTAAGGATGTTGAAATTCAATGTTCTTAATGGGTTTTAAATTATTAAGGATTAGGTTTTAATTCTAAATATCTAAGTAACGATGGTTGGTATATAACCAATACTTAAGAATTATTTAAAAGTCTACCTAAAGATTTAAATACAATTTCCTATTCATATTGTTTATTTCTAGGTTTGGGTCCAATTTCATAAAATTAAGATATTTAAATAACATTATTTTTAGATCCACATTATGAACTTAGATTTGTTTTCTATTTAATAACTTTATTTACTGATACAAGATTTTCCCCTATGATTATGGTTCGAATAGATGGACGGGAAGTTTATTCTTTCAATATCAAAAGTATAGATTTTTAAATTAATCTTTGTAAATGGGAAGCTCATGATCGATATACTACAAAATAAATGAGATTGACAAAAAGAGTAGATTTTACATAAAAAAGTACAAAACGTAAGATCACCTTTTCTCTCAGAGCCTAAACTATTACAATACCAATTGTTCAAGATCAATTTATTTTAAAAGATTTTTAAGTCTATATTAAGAAATGTTATTCAGAACCTAACTTTAATTGTGATGAATGTGTAGGTCCTGAAAAGGGTGACTGTATATAAAAAGCTAAAGTAGTTAATTTTTAATAGGTTGCTGCTATGGATTTGACAGTTGGTCATGGTTGGTAAGTTATATTACCAGAGTTTGGTGGTATTTAAACTTGTAATGGTAGAACTTATTTTGGATTAGATTCAACTAAAGTTACTAATTCATAAATTTAAAAGTTCTTTACTATTAATGATCCTCATACAGATATTGAAATTTCATTTATCATTTAAAAAATAGATAAATACATATCAGAAAAGTTTCAAATCTATTTAGATGACGTTCTTATTGATGAAATATAGTTTTCAACTATAGATGATCAATATAGCTATTGTGGTACTAAAGATAATGATGGTTAAAGGCTGTATAATAAGAAGATTACACATTCCCGTACATTATCTCTCATTTAAATAAAATCAACATAAACATCATCTGATGGTATTAATTTTATTTATTTTAGGTATTTTTGGAATATATAATTTTAAACTCAAAATTCGAAATGGATAGGAATCCAAAGATTTATTTAATGATTTATCCACTAACCCTAATTTTGCTTCAAATCAATGGAATCAGTGGGTGATTACTTAATTCTCTAATGATCTTAATTAATATGTTTGTGATAGTACTGTTACATTATTAGGTATATTAAAGCCAGAAATGTAAATAAGAAGATTTTTCTAAAATTTAGTTACACATACTTAAATAAGGATTCAATTTACTATTTATTTATTCACAAATAGTTTTAATGGTAAAATTTTAACTTTAATTCTTAATAATTAAACTGTTTGGGAATAAAATATTATTTGGTATAATTAAAAAGCTTGTGATGCCAATTTGGATACTTTTGTTGTCAAAGGAGATATAATGTTAGATCATGATTTAGATTATGCTTTCTTAATTTGGAGCAGTAATGTATCAGATCAAAGTGCATCATGGGGGATTGCAGACTTTAAATTATATATTTCATGAATTAAAATTTATAAATAATATTATTAATAATTTCATTTTTTTGGCTAATTGAATATTAATTAAATTAAGATCGACTTTTGCTATTTAATTGGTCTCCAAAATGCCTATTAAAGGGATATATCTATACACTTTTCTTCTAAAAATTAAAAATTAACAATTCAATTCATTTCTAGTCTTTATTTATAATTTAATAATATACTTTGAATTTCCTAATACAATCAATTTGAGTTTTATATTTAGAATAATTCTATATTAGAAATATTCATTGATTAATCAAATGATTTATCTCTTTAAGTTAAAAATAAAGATGTGACAAAAAATTTAGATTCCCCTATTATTTTAGGGTTCTGTTTGGGGCAAAATTTTTTATAGATCCATAAAATCATAATTAATGTAAATATGATTGTAAAACAATAGATGAATTTGAAATTTTCTTAGAATTCTTTCTATATGAACTTAAACAAACGTTATTTTAATATGATAAAAAATTCTCATAGATATACTAAAATTAATTATCAAAGAATAATATTCATTTTAAATTAAGGATAATACAAAGAGAATTTGGAGGATATCTAATATTTAAAGATTCATTATACATATTCAAGTATTTAATAAAATAATAAAGTTCTGTGTAAGTTATTTTATATTTCTTTTGGTTATCATAAAGTATAGAATTATAGATTTTATTTAAGAAGTTGTTAATATAGTAACAATGTTAGTAATAAGCCTTTAAAAGATATTAAATTAGTATTTAAAACATCCTTATATATTGTTTTAATTAGGTATCATCTATTTTAAATAAGGTGTTAATTAATTTTAAAATATAAATTATTATTGAAATATTGGAACTAAATTAATTATAAAGATCACAAAGGATTTTTATTAATTTGGAAAAAGAGTATCCAAAATTTCATGAAGAATCAAATTTAGAAAACAACAGAATAGTTAAATATGAATTAAAGTGATTTAACTGAATTATTATTTTTGGTACATTATACTTTTAATTTTATATCTTAATTAATTCCTTAAACATTATTATAGTTAAAAGTTTATAATATAATTAATAGGAGAGGTTTTATATATTAAAGTTATATATATTAAAAGTCTTAATATAAATTGATATTTTGAAAATGTTATTTAATTTCTTGTTATCGATAATAATATAATTATAATTTTCACTCAAAAATAAACTAGTTTATAGTTCAATTTTTAAATATAAAATAATTTATAAATGTTTAAATACTAATTTGTTCAATCCATTAGATTTAGGTAAGACTAATGGTATCATATAATATTAAATTCCATATATTTCAAAATATATTTAAAATGTTGACATATTTGAAAGAAGTTAGGAAATTCAAAATCAAGTTTTATAAGTTTTTTATCTATTCAAAAATAATTTCTGTAACTGTATAATTATAAATTATAATAAATAGTTTATTTATAAACTAGAATTTTCACATATTTGTTAATTTCAGTTCGGTGTTCTGTATGAAGGAAACTATAATGAATTATGATTAATTAATACTTTATAGCTCTCCAAACAAGTTTGTGAAGAGCTAAATACTTCATTACCACCCTCAAAAAAGGATGGGTCTGTCAATTTTACAAGAATATTTGGACAAATACTAATTGATTTAATTTCAAAAGGAATCTTTATTGGTCGGTCTAATGACTCTCCTTGTTTGATTTAATAAACAGTGCCTTAATAATTGCATTAGCTATAAAATTAAACAAATTTGCAATTATTGTCGTTTAAATTGGAATTGATAAATAGTACTTTTATTATAGAAGCTACAGACTGAAATTTAACAGATAGTATAGATTGAGAATCCATACATTGTTAGTTTTGCATAATTTTTAATGCAGAACCTTAATAATTTATCTAATTAAAAAGCTATAATTTCTTTGAAGTGGAAATCATTAAGGATTTGATTGATTTAGTCCATCCACGTTATGATAGATCTGAAATATTATTACAAATAATAATAGAATCACCATTATAATCGCATTCAGAAAAGAATTCTGCACAATTAGGTTGAACAATTTTCATATTAGGTTTTGGAAAATAGAGAGATGCTTGATCAAAAAAACCATAAGAGACAGTTGTGTACCCTAATGTATTATATCATTATCATACATATGAATAAATTATATATTAAATTAGGAGTTTAAGGACCATTGATTATATAACATCTTACATTAGCACCTTTATCAAATTTATATCCTCTATATGCAAATATGGAAAGTCTGTCTTAAACCAAAAATATTGAAGGTATCACAAAAGTTGCCTATCTACTATTATGACCTAAATTTGCATATAATGGAGGATTGAAAATTTCAGCTTAAGGAGGAGATGACCATAAGGATTGATCAGTACCCAATAGAATATTAAATCTTACATATTCTATTTATGAATCTGAATACGTACTAACAGAAACATCCACAGTTTATGAATATACTTAATCAATCTAAAGTGTATAAAATAACAATTTACTTTGACTTCTACTATTTAATGACTCCATGTATGTTTAATACCAATCAAAGATATTAATCCGTTTGTTGCATCTTTTAATTAATGATCTATTGAAAATGTTATTGTTCTATCACCTGAACCAGTTTTAAGTTCCTATACATCATTTTATTAAAATGTGATGACTGAAATTCTTGAATCCTAAAATGCAAACCAATTAATTCTTATTTCATAAAATATAGAAGCAGATACTGCAAGTGTGTTCAATAAAAATCCTTGAAAAATGATGAATTATGTAATTTACCTTTTCTTGTTATAAGGGTAACTTTAACAAGGAATCCATGTGGTAATTCTAAACTCCAATCAAGATAATACGGTGATATAAACAATTCAGGTGGAGTATCAAAGACAGTCTAAAAATTGATAGCAGTTTATATTTATCTTGGATATTATCTTGAATCTTCTAAAATATGATGACCTCCAGAAATCATAACTATAACATTTCCTGTTTCATAACGTGTTAAAATATAGCTTAACACAAATTAAATAAGTGTTATAAAAATTATATTAAACATAAACTTTATCTATATTATTCAACGATGATCTAGAGATTCGGATTATTAATACAAAATTATAAATTACACTTTTTAAAAAAACAATATTCAAATACTTGAAAAAGAGGAAGTTAATGAATTATATAAATTCCTTCAGCTAATCTTGATTAGAACTTTTTCTTTTAACATTATTAATATATAATATAGAAATGGTTTTGATTTCGTTTATAAAGATCTTATTTTTGAATCCTATTCTGCTTAATTAAGATTGTGTAGAACTACCTGGAGCTGATTGTCTTAATAATGGCTGGACTAATGCCCATAATGTTATATCATGTTAAGGAATAATTTATATGGGATAATTTACAGGAGGAAGAAGAATATCAAAAACATTTTGGTGTCCATCAGAAAACTTGATGAGACTGTCATTTACTATTGCTAAATTTGATTCTTGGGATGGTGAATCGGTATTTGTTTACAAAGATAATGTTCTTATCGGCTAAATTACTTATGCTCCCTTTGATGGAACAAAAATGTGTTTAGGTTCTTATTACCCAGATTTAATGGAGAAGAAATCATATTAGTTTATGTTGCCAAAAGGATAAAATTTTGCAAATTTTAATTAGTTGATAATTTATAAGCAGATAATGAAGGTAAATGAAAAATACTGTTATTGTAGAATCATGGGGAATTAGAGATATAACTTTATAAGTTGTAGATCCATGTGTTAATTTTTATAGCGAATGCAATTTTTAGGGAGATTTGTGGAAAATATGTTCAGGAAATCAGACTTCTTTATCTAAATTTGTTCCTTTCAAAATAAAATCAATTTTTATTTTGGATGGTATTATAGTTTAGATGAAAGACCCAAATTATCAAGGAGGTATAATTTAGACATTCACTTCAAATTAAACTTGCTTAGATGATTTTAATGTAATTAAAAAATGCTTATATATTTAAGTTTCCAAAGTATATATATCCATGAAGATCCAATGATTAATTTAAAATAAATGAATATACATAATATGGATCCTTCAAAAATGATAGTTTATTGAGATAATTTTCATAATTAACTAAGAAGTAGTATCAAAAAAATAATCTCATCTATTTTTTATGAAATGATTGATTGATCTTTGGAGTAACATTTTTCTGAACTGATTTTTCATTGATCTTTTTTGTATTTAACAATTAAATACAAATAGGATGCTTACAATAAATGGGAGTGTATCATTAAAACATACCAATATACTTATTTATTCACCATATATCAAAATATTAATGTTTATAGTTAAATTTAAATTATAAATCAATTTGAATAATTATTTATAATTTACCAATTCATTTTAATACAAGAAACTCTTAGAGTATATATTTATAGGATTTAAGAGATATATAAATTCAAATACTAACCATCTAAAAATTAAATTTATTAAAAAATTGAGATTTTCCAACAATTTTAAGTTCTAATTTATAGTTTTATTTATATTACAATTATTGGAACTAAAAAATTAATTGTAAATACATTTATAATTTTCAAAATTTATATTCATTTAAATCTAAATTACTTATTAAAAATAAAGAGTAGTAGTATTATTAATTTCATTTAAAAAATGTCCTTTAAACCTTTAATATATAAAAATGAAATATATATTATAACTGATATTCAATCAGTAAAACAATCAATCTAACCATAGAATGCAGCTATAACTCCAACAAATACTTAATTTTTTTTCAATTGAAACTAAAAAAATTTAATAAAATTTATACTCTTCCTATTATGATTTATTTTAAGACATTTATCAAACAAAAAGCATATATTTAAGTAGTAAAAATACAATAGTAAAAGATTGAATCATATTAAATTGCTAATATCAAACTAATCAAAAACTAAGTAATATTTGGAACTAATAAATATAATAAAATGACTTACAAAACATGTTAAGTTCAGTTTCAGCAAACATTAAATAAATTATTACTATTATATTAAAAATAAAGTTTCCTAAAATTGAATATGCCATTATTGCTTCAAATTAATAAACCCCTTAAATAAATAATATAAACTACACTCATATGTTTCAGTATATAAAAAAGAATCTAATGTCTAAATTAAGGTTAAATAAAACAATGAATAACTCAACACCAACCCAAATAATATTATTAAACTGGTTGCTGTCTATAATTTATATAAAATATTATTACACTCCTATTATTTCTTGCAATTCCAAACTTTGCTAAAATTATTGTAGTTAAGGAAAAAACTAATAATATTGCTAAAGATAATGAAATTTAATTTCCCTCTAAATTATATTGAATAATCTAAAAAATCAATGGACGAATTAGCAAGACAAATAAAATAGACCATAAAATGTATACTCCTAAAATTAGACCTAAAAAGACTTTTTAATTTTGAAAATCTTAGTCTTTCAGTAAATCAGATGCCTCAGGATTAAGATTAAAATTCAGATTTTATTATTCAGGTTAAGGAAGTATATAATGTTATTAATATTATGGGTATTATTATTATACTTAAGGTTGTTAGTAAATTATTGGTTATTAAGAGATCAATACTGGGATATATTTAATGTTATTGTTTGTCTTACTGATTAATTGTTATTAGAAGTCTTGATCCTATGAATATTATTAGTAATATTTGATGTCATCAAAGCTAGGGTATTTTAGTTATTGCATATTATTTATATTTTGTAATTTGATAATCCATATATATATATGTTAATTATATTAAACAACATAGAATAATTTCTATAATAAAGCAAATACTTTGTGGTTGTCTACCTTAAGTTCTATGATTTTCAAAATACTTTGATAGTTACAATCTTGATGTACTGTTTTTATGATTATCAAATTTATATTATTTAAATATGGATTTGAATTCTATAATTAAGCCAAATAACTGATTTTTATGAATAATTAGAATTTATTATTTTTATGATACTCAAATTAGAATCAAATCTATTTGAAAATTGACTTAAATATTTATATTTTTTTTGATTTATTGTTATACAATTTCATAAAGGAAGGGTATTAGTAATCATATAAAAAACAAATAAATAAAATATTTACTAATATATATATAATAAATAAAATATTGAATCATTATTAATTTTGAATGGATTTAATATATGCAACCAATTCTATTAATATTTCTTTAGTTTGCATTTTCTTTTTATTATTATCATTTATTTTAATTAATTCATTATAAACTTTCATAAAATTCTAATTCTAATAAATTTCTATCAATTATTATTGTAGTAATTCTCTATTTTCAAAAATTAACTTAACTTATTTCTTTATTAATCTAGGCCAATTTAATTCATATTTTTTTCCATTATTATTTGATTTTATTGGGTATTATCTTGTAATAATGTGATCTAAATTTTCATCAGGATCTTGTTTATTGCAAATTACTCCATGATATTATTTCATATAATTCTTAAATTTAGGATCTACTACTAATTCTCTCATATCAGTTATTCTATATCCAATTTTTAAATTATAATAGTCCATTTTCAAAGTTTTAAGTAATAATGGAAATGGTATTTGTTTAGTTACTAAATAAGTGATAAATGTCTTAAAAAGAGGATTCATACTATCTGCTCTTCTCTCTATTGATTATTCTTCTAAATCCCCACCTTTTTCGATGTTATTTATAATCTTTTTTTCTAATTTAAATTTGATTCTGTAAAGAAATGTACCAATCCTTAAAATATTTGAACCATATTTAGCATATTCTAAATCTTCTATAAGAATATTCTATAATAATTATTAAATTTCTTTCCCACAAATATTCCATATTGATGTTAAAAAGTCTTCGAATGCTGTATTGTGGAATACTTATATAAATTAATCTGTATTAATATGAGTCATCGAATGAAGAAATTCAATATATTAGATTAAAGCTCCATTAAGTTTTAAACTCAGAAATATTGGATATTCTTTTTAACAAATAGAATAAACTTACTCATAACCTATTGCTCCTTTTGAAAAAATGCTATCATCTATCTTTAATAAATTCAAACAAGATTTCATTCTTGGTATTTCAAACATCTTTTAAATTTCTTTTACTTATGATTTTATGGCAATACACTTTTTTTTGTCAGGTGTTTCTTTGAAAAATAAAAAGGTTAATAATTCTGGTATTACTATTTCTTGCTCTTTTAATAACATTAAAACAACTTTTAAAACAAATTAAGGAAATTTCTCTGATTTTACCTAATCAAGACTTTGCCTTTTGTATTTTAATTTTTCATGAAATTCTTTAAAATGCTTTACCAATTATATTATTATATCCTTTGATTCCTATAAATTAATAATGCTAATTTAACTATGAATTTAATCTAGTATATCAAATTATTTCTAATTGAATTAATTAGTGAAATCAAATTTTTAATTTAATAATTTTATACTTAACAATATGATTTCTTCATCTGTAGTCTCTATTAATGCATCATATAGACTTTTGTAAATCTCAGATCTTAAATCAAAATTAAATTTCTAAAGCATAGTATCAAGTATTAATAAAAGATCTTCTTTATAATGAATTTCAAATGAAGTAGGTGTGATTTTTAAAAAGAATACTAATGCTGGAACAGGTTATTCTAATTATAGTAATTAAATTAAATTCTTTCTAATACTTTATTTTAATGTTTTTTCTCCATGTTTAAGTCTGCTCTAAACTATTTTTAATATTTCTTGAGTATTGTAAATTGCATCAAAACTAGTTGAGTAAATGTCCTTCAAATATTCAACATAATCAGGATCAAAATTGGAAAAGAAATGTTTTAATAATTGAAAATCCTATTAATATGAAACAAGCATTTAATCCTTTACACTTTCAACATCTAACAATTTATGAAACCTTGCTTGTTTAGAACACTATTTTAGTTCTAATTTTTTCATTAATTTAATTTGCAAATGATATTTTACTTCTTCAATATATGACCAATTAATTCAAACCAATTTTATAATCCTAGTTTTATTTATAATTAATATTAATATATTTAATAAAATAATAATAGAAAGTAAATTGTTCCTTCAATCTTAACATGAAGGAAATAAATATAAATCTTAAGGACTCTATTTCTATTATAATTATTCAGCTATTGTAATATTAAACTATTATATTAACATTGAGTTATAGTACCATAATTTTTAAAGGAATTGTATCAAATTAACCTTCAATAATATGTTGATCATATGGTTTTTCTAAATTTTAATAATTAATGTAATATATTTATATAATTTTCCATTTAATAGATTAATCATATTTAAAGCAATTTGATTAAATAATAAGATTATAGGGTTATTAATTTCTTGCAGTTATTAACTATCGTAAATTATTGTAATCAAATTCATAAAATAAATAAAAGAATAAAATTTTTGATTTCAATATATATTTTCAGATTCAAATTTATCATTAAATTTATTAATATAAATTTATTTTACTAATTAATTTCTTTTTTATAATAATTTCTAATTATTGCGATTTTTTGTATTTAAAATACACAATTTTATAAGAAAACCTTTATTGCAATAAAATAAAGTAATGCTTAGCCACACTTTTAATTTTTAAATTTCTTTAATATAGTTGGGAATTCAAAAAACAAAATATATGAAAAAATAGGAAAAAGTCATCTTTTAAATGATTATTTCTTATCAGCTTTTAAGCTCCAAAAATGTTTATGGATCAAATGGTTGATTTCTTACTCTTTAATTGAATAAAAAAAGTTGAAACATATGGGAATGACACAAAGAGAACTTGAATTATTTTATTATATTTACTGTTAATGAATTAAATTAATATTTCCAGCTAAAAAGAACACATGAGATATGATAAATACATTGAATTAAATAGTTCTAAAAAATGATTTTCTACATATTTATAAAGTATATTAGAATTATTTTGTTTAAAATAATCTACATCCTAATATTAATTTTTCAAAATTAAAAAAACATTCTATTCAATGAAAATTGTGAATATATAATAGTACATCTTATTATTAGAAGTATATATATATTTTACATGATAATTTTATTTATATAAATTAATTAACTATTTTTTAATGATTAAATTTCTTTTAAATTGAAATATTAAGATCAAAAAAAGTTAAAAAAAATCAATTATGGTTCTAATTAGATTTTATTTAGAAAAACTGGTTTTATTAAAAGGTAAATAATATATAAAAGCGAATTTAAAAGTAAAAGAGATTAGTGTAGATGTTTTTAAAAATTAGATTAAGTTAGATAGTTATTAGCTTAAAATTTTTGAAATTAAGATAAAGATTATTATCAAATAAANTATCAAATTAACCTTCAATAATATGTTGATCATATGGTTTTTCTAAATTTTAATAATTAATGTAATATATTTATATAATTTTCCATTTAATAGATTAATCATATTTAAAGCAATTTGATTAAATAATAAGATTATAGGGTTATTAATTTCTTGCAGTTATTAACTATCGTAAATTATTGTAATCAAATTCATAAAATAAATAAAAGAATAAAATTTTTGATTTCAATATATATTTTCAGATTCAAATTTATCATTAAATTTATTAATATAAATTTATTTTACTAATTAATTTCTTTTTTATAATAATTTCTAATTATTGCGATTTTTTGTATTTAAAATACACAATTTTATAAGAAAACCTTTATTGCAATAAAATAAAGTAATGCTTAGCCACACTTTTAATTTTTAAATTTCTTTAATATAGTTGGGAATTCAAAAAACAAAATATATGAAAAAATAGGAAAAAGTCATCTTTTAAATGATTATTTCTTATCAGCTTTTAAGCTCCAAAAATGTTTATGGATCAAATGGTTGATTTCTTACTCTTTAATTGAATAAAAAAAGTTGAAACATATGGGAATGACACAAAGAGAACTTGAATTATTTTATTATATTTACTGTTAATGAATTAAATTAATATTTCCAGCTAAAAAGAACACATGAGATATGATAAATACATTGAATTAAATAGTTCTAAAAAATGATTTTCTACATATTTATAAAGTATATTAGAATTATTTTGTTTAAAATAATCTACATCCTAATATTAATTTTTCAAAATTAAAAAAACATTCTATTCAATGAAAATTGTGAATATATAATAGTACATCTTATTATTAGAAGTATATATATATTTTACATGATAATTTTATTTATATAAATTAATTAACTATTTTTTAATGATTAAATTTCTTTTAAATTGAAATATTAAGATCAAAAAAAGTTAAAAAAAATCAATTATGGTTCTAATTAGATTTTATTTAGAAAAACTGGTTTTATTAAAAGGTAAATAATATATAAAAGCGAATTTAAAAGTAAAAGAGATTAGTGTAGATGTTTTTAAAAATTAGATTAAGTTAGATAGTTATTAGCTTAAAATTTTTGAAATTAAGATAAAGATTATTATCAAATAAATAATACTTTAAACTTTCTAATAATAAGAACCTTTGATAATTATTTTGTTAATTTGAAAATTTAGTGCTATTGATTTTTTTTTAATTTCAGCAAATTATAATTACAAAATATATTAGTTTTAAAATTAAATTTATTAAAATCTAAAAATTAAATTGATATTAGTAAATTTCATTCAATAAAAACTTTAAAAAATATAAAATATTAGTTTATAAATTGATTTTATAAAATTGATATAGAAAAAATTATGCAAATATAGTTTGTAAAAAAATGAATTTACAAAATTTAGTTTATATAAAGGATGAGCATGGGCATCAGTTAAAAATGCTGATTAATTTACTATTGAAATCAGCAGAATTAATTATACTGATGTTATTCATTTATTTTGAGCAAATATTACATTTTTTTTATATGTATTGTCAAAAATAACTATTAATATTCAAATTAAAGTTTGTTTTTTAAGTTAATAACAGAAGTTTATAAATAATAATAATTATATCTTAATTTATACATTTATATTCATTCAAACTGAATCTCCTTAATTAAATATTTTAGTTAAATCTATCTGATGTTTTGAAAGAAATTTAGAATTTGTAATATTGGCATAATGACAAGAAAATTTTTTTATAGCATTACCAAATCTGAATCTTGATCCATATTTTTCATTAATTTTTTCATAATAAGTTAATTGATTAAATTCTCCATAAGTTAAAAAGACACTCTCTTTATTTTATCCATATTCTGTCAAAACAGCAGATCCAATTGATAAATTTTTCATTTATTATATAAATTATTCTGCTTTAATAGAGTAAATATTTATATTGTTAGTTGAGCCCCCTGTTAAAATCAAAATTAAATCTTGACTTAAGATTTACAATTATTTTAATGTAGGTTTATCTTCACCGAATGCTATTATAATATCTTATTTTTTTTAATCTTCTAGTGAAATCTTAGCAATCAAATATTTTTTAGAATTACCATCAAAACAACCGCAGATAATTGAATTAAATTTTTGAGATATACTAATTTAGACTTGCAATGCTTAATCGGTATCAAATGGTTTAATTTTATCTGTATGATCTCCATTAGGACTCCAAAATAGGATATTTCCATCATCATCAGCAGTGATAATTTAGGATTTATTATGATCAAGAAGCACAAATTCAGCTTTATAATTATTATTTTCTTAGTAATGAGCTTTAATTGCTTCTTATAAAACCATAGTTTTAGTTAGCTCTGCTTTTTTAGATGAATCATGAGAAGAATTTTTTTTAAATGTGAGCTAATAAAAGGCTTATTTCTTATTATTATAATCACATATACTTGTTGGATCATAATCTGAAATTTTGTAATAACTCAAGCCATCAGGAAAATAAGCAGCAAGATAATAACCACTTTAATTTTAACAAATAAAATAGTTCTCTTAATCAAAGTACCAAAATTTGTTAATTTCTGAATCTTCCAATAAAATTTATTTTTAATCAGTAGGTTTCAATTATTTTAAGTCTTGAATAGTTAGAGGCCAAAAATATATTAAGGAATCCTTTCCTGCAGTTACCAATACATCCTATAGGCCATCTTATCTTGTATGAATTTATAAGTATATTATTTATTTTTTATGTTAATAATGTACTTGAGAATTACATTATAGTAAATCATATTCAATTATTTTACCACTTGTCATACCTATAAATAACGTATTTTTCTTTCGATAATAAAGAAGAGAACAAAAAAAGTCTTATTCTCCTATCATTTCTATTTATTATTCATTTTAATTGATTGTTTTAATAGAGGATGGTATATCCTTTCCAGATCTAATATTCTTAATAATAACACTATTTCCACAACAAAATAATAAATCTTCATCAATTTAAACATCAAGGATTTTTCCAATGTTAGGGTAATCAAACCTTTTTTTCTCAATACCTAATTTTGAAATTTTTATGATAAATATTTTAGTATTAGTTGTAACTAATATTTTTTTTTAGTTGATCTCTTTTATTATTTAGACAATTTCTGTCTCTGTATTGTTTTTTTCAAATTCTAATATTACACTTCTAGAGAAGAAAAGTTGTTCTTTAGTTTCATCCTAACTTTTTTATTCTTTAAATTCTTCATAATAAATATTGATTAGTATATCTTTTGTTTATTATTGATTCTCATCTAATAATGATTATGCAAAATAAAAATTATTTGTATATTTTCCGATTGCAAAAGCCTAACAATCTTTTAGTTTTGTAGAATCAGCATATTTTTTTGGGGAACTTCTTGTCGATTTATTTTGTAAAAATTGAATGATCGATTATAATTCTATTTGATTAATTTTTATATTATTTTGATTTTCACAAAATAATTAATATGATTTAAATTCCTTATCCCATAATTGTATATAATGATAATTTTAACTATGTGTAATCAATTAATAATTTTTTTCTATTTCAATCATATTCAAAGATTTAATAGGACTAATGATATATAAAGATTTAAAGAGTTCATATTTTAAAAGGTTCCAAAAATTGATATTTCCTTAAGTATCTCCAGATATTAAAATCTCATTTTCTTTTTGACTTATTACTAATGATGATACTGCTGCTGTGTGACTTTCTAAATCTTTTCCAATTTTAGTTCCTTTTTATCTATCCCAAATTTATATGATTCCATGTTAGTTTCCTGAAATAATATTTCTATCAGTTGAGAAAATGCAACATGTAATAGTAGATTTTGGATTTGAGTTTTATTATTAGAGTAGAGCTTATAAGTCCCATATTTAAATCTTGCCGTTATTATTGATTGTGGAAATTAATAAGCCAGATATTTTGGTCATTTATTTTATTTGCCCATCCAAAATAGTGGAAGATATTATCTTTTTCTCTTTATAATTCCATAATTTCATATAAGTAAGATTATTAGAATAAGAAAAAGATAATATATATTTATCTTCATCAACAAAATATGCTTTAAGTTAGTCCTCTCCAGGTATATCTAATTGTATAAATTTATCAGTAGTAATATATTATTTTTATTCTTAATTTTTATCCTGAGGTTGTTATGTTAAATATTATTTTTCTATTACTAGAATTCCACTAGACTTATAATCATCTTCTTCCAGATATCCGAATAATAACAAATTCTAATTTTCACTAACTTCAATACAAGTATATTTTTATAACAATTAACATTCGTATTGGTTCTCATTATTTTCATCAATTTATTAATTTTTACATTTTTTATGTGAACATTTAATTTAGAACTAAAAATAAATATATTTATTGTCAATTTCTTTAATGAATATCACGTCTCTATCCGATAAAAATATAATATCATTCTCATAACTTGCAATTTGAATAATCTTTTTGAGGACGAGTTGATTCAAATATATATTATTATTATCATTTATAACTATTTCTTCTTATTAAACATCAGTTGCCAATCTAATTAATAACTTTTCTGATCCAATAATGAGACCAATAATGAGATCATCTTTTTATGTAAAATATGCTGTTTAAAAAATAAAACCATCTGGTAATTTTATTTTCGAATTAATTGTAGAAATTAAAGTAATTGAATCATTATGAAAATATGCTATTTTTTGATTAGATTAGTTTTGAGAAACCAAAATATATTTTACATTAGAAATATTATATTCAGATTCATTTTTTCTTACAGCTTCTGTTTAAGTTTTATAATTAAACGAGACTATCTTATCTTTAGTATTAAAAATTAATAAATCTTCTGATTTGATATAATTAAAATAAAAGGATTGTTAAGGAAGATTTAGCTTTGTTTCAATGCTTGGTAATTCATCTATTAAGATGTCATTCCATACTACATCTTAAAGGTTTGCAAAATTAAAATTACTCTAAGAAATATTTACATTACTAAATTCTGATTTCAATAAGTTTGCACCAACAAAATTACTATCGAGCAATTGAATATCATTAATTTTAATATAACTTAAATCTTTATTTAATGGATATTTTAATAAATGAAGAAGATATAAACAATTTGAACTTGCTTGAATGATTCTTTAAGTTACTTCTTCATCTGTATATAAATTTTATGTAAAATTCTATTAGGCTAGAAGTTGAGTTTGAGCTCTTTTTAATTAAATAGTTTAACTTACTTTCATGCTACCTTATATTTTATTTTAATCATTTTTTTGTATATTTTTAGATAGAATGGTAATTTCAAATAGTTTTTTTTACAAAAACTAATTCTGATTTAATTTATCAACCATAAATTTTAGAACTCCATTCATGGAATCTTTGGATAAATTATGAACACATAAATCATCTAGTTAATTATCAATACCATTTGAATTTAGACTTTGATTAAATTAATCTAATTATTAAATTAACCATTTGGCCACCAAAAATTCTTATAATGATTTATGATTAAAAGAATATATTCCATATTTTTATTTTATTGGCATTATCTTTCTAAATAACTTTTTAATTTAACCTTATTCTTATTCATCATTGAAATAAATATCTCTCCAATCTACATCCTTTTTTTTCTAGAATAGCAAAATTCGTGGTATATATTATACTTAACTTACTTATTATAATGTCATATCGTTAGCTAATCTATGAGTGAATTCCCAAAGATCAGATAAATTTGAAATGTAAGCTAAGGATTCCCCAGATTCTATTAGTTTGTTTATTTATCTTTTAAAATATTAAGCAAAAAATTAATCATAAAAATCATATGAACATAATGGATCTAATTTCATAGCATTTTAAAGTATTTAAAAATTATCTAGTTTTTTAAAATGTTTAGAAATTAAACTATCTCTATCAGAATCATTTGAAACTTTTAAGTATTCATCCAAAAATTATTCATTACTGATAATCTTTGACCATTCTTTTGACAATTATTCATTAGAGAAATTTTCTTATTATGATAGCTTTTTCATAAATGATTCTTTCAAAGTATTTAATTCTTATCTATGTTTTATCATTTAAGGTAAAACAGATGCTACTATTTCAATCATAAATGGTGTTTCTAATAAAGATCCTATATCCATTTATCGAATGTTCTTTATATAATATTCTTTATACCAAACTTCCTCTAAAGATTATTACATAGTCATTGCTATATCTCCACTTACAAAACTCTCACACAAAGATAAGATTCTTCTTATCTAATTTTTAGATAATAAAAATTATTAATCTTATTTATCATCTTCTTATTCTTTTTCATTGATAACTTTGATAATTTCATTAAATATTTCTTCAAATGCAAAAAAACCTGAATTATCCTTATTATTAAAGTAGAAATCTTTGATGATTTTTTTAACTGATAAAATTGTATGATATTCAATATAAGTATTCACTTATTCATTAGTAAAATTTAACAATCTAATTTCTTTATAATATTAAAGATTTTCAGATTCTGGTAAAAACCAAGATCTATATTCATTATTAATGAATATTTCTGATCTTGATGTTGTTATTATCTTTGGAAATCTCTATTCATCTGATTAACATCTCCATTTATACAACTTATTTGAAAGTATAAGATTTCTATTTGTAAATTCTGATTTTATTTCATCATAACTATCCATAATAATAACTAATTTAAATTAATTCTATTCAACTGCTTCTTTAAATTCAATTATCTATTTATCATTAAATCTGTAATTATCTGATTTTAATGTCTCTTCTATAGCCATTGATAATGGATCCTTCAATTAAGGTAAAGATACAAATATAGGAATAATAGGAATAGACTCTGCTATGTTAATATTTTTCTTAAATAATAACCATAAAAATTCTTCTATCTTTCTTGCTGCTGTACTCTTTCCTGATCCAGCTTGTCCATGGATCAATAAACTTAATTTCTATTACTTCCAAATAAATTCATTTATTTCTCCATTACTAAACAAATCATCTGTATATAATGGAGTTTCTTCATCTTCCTAATTTTCTAATACTTATTTTTCTTTTGTTTTTATTGGCACATACACATTTTCAGAATTTAAAATAATTCTCTATTATAATACTCTTTACATTCTAATGATGAGTAAATCTTTTATACTTCTTCCCTACAATAATTAAATATCTTTATGGATTTAATCAATAGATCCTTATAAATTTTTTAATTAAGATTAAATGTTAACTAAATCATTTTTAATATCTTAAAAGAACAATAAACTTGTTCCAAGTGAATTTCCAAGACTCTCTGCATTCTTAACAATACCTTGTATTTCACTTTCTAATTCAACATATCTTTTCTTGAATTTAGATTTCTCATATTATTTTGTTTCTATTGTTATTTTATATGCTATATCATTCAATTCTTCTAATTTTTGTTTAATTTTAGTTTAGACATCTTCTTCTTATTATGTCCAACATTATTAAAACATACTTACCACTTAATTTTCATCTTAATCATCCAATAATTATTTATTTCGTCTATCTGTTTCATATATTCTACATTTTACTAATAATCCTTTAGCCAAATCAACAGTAGCCTATGTCAAACAACTATTCTTAAAGTACATCAATTCATATATACATGATTATCTGACTCTCCATTTATTTTTATTTATTAAGTCACTTGCTGCTTCTGCAAATTTATCGTAATAACTTGGATCTGATGTTACATCCTCCTTTTTCCATATCTAAGTCAATATAAAGAATATTTCTGATTTTAAATTAGGACTAAGAATTAATTTTTAATCATAAAATCTTTATTATAGATCTTTTAATTCAATTACTTATTAAGGTAATTTTTCTTCATAATTCCCAACTAAGTCTTTTATTTTTTTTTCATTTTGTTCTATTTTAATTTGATATTGACTATTCGCTCTTTTGAGTAGTAATGAATTATTTATCAAAGTAGAAAAGACACCTTATTATTAATTTATAAATTTTAAGTTGTCAAATTAAACTTAGACTTAATGTTCAATTTCCTTAATATTATCAAATAAAAATTAAAAAAAGTGAAGATTTTCTTTTGGAGAAATTTATTCAGCTTTAAAGTTTTCTTATTCACTCTAGATAGTTGACTTTAATAAAGATTCTAGATGAGATTATACTTCATTATATAATTCTTATTTAAATTAATCATCTTCTTCTTATAATGTTTTGTATTCTTAAGCTATCTCGATTTTTTCTAGATATTCTTTTATCAATTATTGTTTCATTTAAATCTACTAAACAACATTTTGAGAATAATTTTTATTTTTTTTCTACCAACTTTGAAAAGAATGACAATAATTTTAATAAAAAAGAGTTAGTTTAAAATAGAAATCCTTATTTTACAACCATTAAACATTATTAACTGGATTTACTATTTTTACTTAATTGAAAATTTCTTGATTTGTAAAAATTTTAAATTCATCTTAATCTTTATTATTTTTTTTTTCATCAGCATTTAATAATTCGATTATCATTTAAATAGCTCGTTTAAGTTGAACAATATCATCTAGAAATTTCTCATGCTCATTTTAAATGGCTTAAAATATTGATTAACAAATGTATATTACTCCTGTCTCTTTTACTTTTCTTATTGTTTCCTTATGAATTGCATAGACCATATTGAGAGTTTCAAACTTTTTTAGTGTAATGGTTTTCAAAACTTAATAAATAACATTTCTTTTTTATGAAACTTTTCTAATCAGTTTATATTTTATGCAAGCATCATATTTGCTGTAAAAAAACTTAATACATTTTTGTAGAGCTTTTAATGAGGCTAATTATAATGAAAATCCTTTTAAGGAATCTATTATCTGATTTGCTTATTAATTTAGTTATTTATCATTATATTAATTTTAGCTTAATTCTTAAATGTAGAATTTCATTTTTACAAATAATTTTAAATTCCATCTAAGGAATGCTGATCCTCCCTATAACAATTTAATACCTTCTTTAAATCCAAATTTATATTCCTCATCATTCTTCATTTGATGTTTAGATCGCTTAATAGATATATATTTGAGTCTAGATTGCAGTTATTAAAGATTTTCTATTTTAAATGGGTCTTTCTTAAATATTAAAACAATTTCTTTATATTTAGGAGTCTTAGTTTTTTTTTTCTCTACTTTTTTCTTTTCTATTTCTTATAAAAGATCTAATACATTTAATTTATATTAATCTTAATTATAATTTTGAATAATTTAATCTTAATCAAAATTATTATTTTGAATAATTTAATTTTAAACTTAATTATTATTTTGAATAATTTAATCTTAATTATTATTTTGTATAATCTAATCTTGTACTTAATTATTTTGATTAATTTATTCTTTATCTTATTTTTTTTCACCTAATATAAAATCTATTTGATATTCTTCCTTTGTTTTATCATCTATCTCTTTTTACTAGTTTTCTTTTGATTAATTTTTAATTTTGATAAGTAAACTTTTTAAAAAGAATGATACAAATTTTATACTTAAACTTTTTTTCAATTTAACAATTTCTTCTAACCATTTTTCTTCTTTATCTTCAATTTATTAAATAGGTGATTGATTCTATATCAATTAACTTTAAAATATTGCATTTTATCCAACTGGTTATTTTGGAGACTCTAATTCATTATCATTTGGATGCTCAATTTCATGTAATGAATTTATAGATTCTAATAATTAGATTGTATTATTAATTGCTTTTTTAAGATAATTTTCAATATCTTATATTTTAGATTTGTTTGTAGTACTCAATAATTCAATATGTTATTATAATTATTCTTAAGCTTTTTAGATTTCTTATGAATTATGTAACATTATGGAAACTGAACTTAAATTAAATTGAAATGCATCAAAATTCTCTTTTTCAATTGCTTAAGTAAGTTTAGAAGAGTATAATGATTCAAAACTTGGCATTTATTTATATCCATATAAAATTGTATATTACAATCTTCCAAGTTCTTATAATTCTTCTATATTTTGATAAATTAATTTAGCAGTTGCATTATTTTCAATTAATCTACTATCTATATTCAACCAACATGTTTTTCTAATTTCATTTTTATGAATATAAGGTTCATTTGATATTTTAAGACTTTAAATTTTATCTAAAGGTAAAATCAATTTTTATTAAAATAATTGTGATAACACTTTAGTCCATGTACACCATACTTGCCAATCTGAAGATTTGCTTATTACATCATTATAAACATTATTTAATTGATCTAAATCAACACAGTTTTTTGCTTAATCACTTTTTTAAATCTTATTTATAGTTTCATATTTGAGTTATAATAAAGCAAATATAATTTTTAGTATTTTTTTTCTGCTAGATTTGTCATGTTCATTATAAATATAGATTACTCCTTTTTTTAAACTAGTCAAAAATTCATCATTTATTGAGAAGGATAGAAATGAAGTTGCTGCTCCAATAAGAAAAGAAGCTGCTATTTCCTTAGCTTCATCACTATCTGTAGGAACAATAGTAAATATTGATTCTATTATATAGAGTTCATATTCTAAATTATTTTAGTATTTATCTATATTTTTTTCTATTTCTATTTCTTTTTTGATTTAGTTGATAATCTCAAGATACTAAGTTTAATCATTAACTTTCATAAATCTCTCTTTATTTTCTTTAGAATTACTATAAAAACAAAAGATTATCCAAGATAACAATTAGATGATTTATGATAAATAGACAGAATATGCTACAAATCCTTTTATTAAAGTTCTTAATGCTTCAAGTAAAGGCTTAAGATTATTTAATATAATATCTATTATTTAAGCTGATTCTTCTTTATCAACTATAATTCCCCATAATTCTTATCTATTATCTAAGAAGAATTAGAAACTAGACATTAGTTTTTTTTTTTCACTCATAGCTATGATAGCATTTTTGGAAATAATTTCACTGTGTTATTGAATAAGTTTTGCCATTTTTTCTTTTTCAGTCATATCAACTTTTTATTTACCTCTTTCCATTTCTTATTTATGTTATTTTGGATCTTTTTTAGAGGTACCACAACCTCCACCTCTTAAATATATAGTATTATTATTCATGAAGGAAAAATAAATAAATTTTAACAGAATTAATATCTTCTTTTGTAACTAGCTTTTTTAATATTTTATAGAGAAATGAGTTTGAATTATTATATATAATTAAAATGAAGTGAGTATAGTATGTAATGATTATGTATATAATCTAATAATGAATTAAAAATGATATTAATATATTAGAAGTAATGAATTAATCAACATAATTAGATGATAATACCTTAAAAGAAAATTTATCAAGATTAAGTAATCTAATGAGTACTTAAAAAAAGAATTAGATGGATTAAAAACCACTTTAACAAAATTAGTAGATGAAAAAGACCATATTTATGAATTTGAAATTCTTTGTTAAACCTTAAGTGCCTAAAGTATAAGCATAAACACAAAAAAATACAAAAGTTCCAGAAACAACTTCTACTTAGAGTTAGACTCCAAAAACTATAACAAAATAATAAATGTACAGACCATAATCTATGGCTCTTTTTAAGTAGATTTCTGAATTCAGAGAGATAAAATATTAAGAGAGTTCAATCAAATAAGATTTATCTCATTATAAGGATTGGGTTGGCTTATCAGTAGTTGATCGAAATGAAATATTTTAAAAAAAGAAGTAATTGAAAATAAAAAAGCTTCAAGAAGAAAAAGAATAATAAATAATTAATGCTTGTACATTTACACCTAAATTATCTTAATAAATTAAGTATTCAAGTCCATAATCTTAGATCATAAATAAATCATATCTTGATTTACATAAATAAAAACAGAATTATAATGATAAATTATATTGATGTCAAAATTTTGTTTTTTTTCAATTAATAACATTAGATTATTATATAATTATCTTAAATAACTATTAATTATTAAATGTTCTTTAGATATTTTTATAATCTGCTTTATAAAAAATAATTAAATTATATTTTATATTAATTAGAGAAGAATTTCTATTATTATTATTATTATTATTATTATTATTATTATTATTATTATTATTATTATTATTATTATCTAATTATATAGCAAAAGAAAGTTAGAAAGTAGAAATTGAAATGGAAATAATTAAGATATTTATAATTAATATTCAATCATATTTTAATTTTTCCATCATTCTTTTACCATGTAAAAATAACATTGCTTCTTCATATGTTTATGGTTAAACTTATTTGATTGGTATTGATGATTTCATTGCTAAGTAAACTTCAGATGTTTTTAGAATTGTCACTTTGCTATCTTTATAATTGTGGACATCTACTTACACTTAAATTATCATAATATCATCTTCTACATAACATATCTTTCCAGATTAATTTATTATACTCCCTATTGCAACTGGAGCAAGAAAAGTTACATCAAAAATATGAATTATAAATACATCATTTCCTAAAGCATGTTTATAACCAACTAACCAACCTAATTCAATAATTTCTTTCATTATATGACCTCCAAATGCTTTCCCATGTAGATTTCTATCTTAAGTATGCATCATTATATTCTTATCTAATTTAGTTTGACTAATAAATAGACTATCATCTCTTTTTTTCATCATATCATGCAAATATCTTGATTCATTTTAATTTGGTGGTTCTTATTATAGTTTAGATTCTTAAATTCTTCTTTATTAATTCAATATTCCTAATTATTTTCTAATAAAACATGATTCTTTAATATCAGGATGTTATTCATCTAATAATTAAGGTACAGGTTAAGATTAATCATACTTTTCTGCATTCCTACTAACCATCACAAAAGAGACTGTAGCAGCCAATTAGTTATCTTAAAATAAATCACTATTAATTTCAATAGATGATTTACCAACATAACTTACATATGAATTCATTATAATATCTTTGTTATAATCAAATTCTTATTTATAGAATAGAAAATCATAAACTCCTAATGTTGCTATTGTTATTAAACGATTAGAGAAATCAGCATATGAATGTTTATATCCTACAAAACCTACTTATAAATCTAACACTTCTAATAATCTTCCTATTCTTGCATATTTAGTTTATAATTTAGTAAATTAAGTTCTTAATTTTTAATTCTATCCTATAGGTATTTTTAATTAAGTAAATGCATTACTAGTACTATTAAAATTTTAAGAATTAGGTATTGTCTTATATTCATCTTTGAGTTCATACAACTCAAAATTATTTTGATTTGTAAAGAAATTTGGAACCAACTAATTGATTTTTGAATCTGATAATATTAAAGGTTTAAGTTGATCTTCTTTAAAATTTAAAGCAAGTTATTTTGCACGTATTTGAGCTAATTTATTTGCAAGCAATGAAAATTTTGGTAATGTCATTTAAATAAATAATGTAATAATAAATTACTCCAGAATAAGGATAAAACAGAATAAATGATTAAATAGAAGAATTGAAAGGTAACACACTGCAGGAAGAATAAGAAGAAATTGGAGGAGGAGAACAAGGAATTTGGTATCGCTTTGAACAAAGGGTTTATAAGTTTTTGAATATTCAATAGAGTCATCATTCTTTGGAAGAATTGAGATAAATGAATAGAGTATTTGATAATTAAATTTAGTTTGAATTACTTTGTTTATAATAATTGGCTAGCAGTGATTATACATGCGAAGTTTAGAGAAATCTTTGTGATACTGAATTTAATTTGTGGATCACAACAGCTTACATGAATTAAGGTAGTCTTAATATGGATTGTCTTTTCAATAATAACTAAATAAATGATAGATTATCATTAGAGACAATTTCAATCATTTGCAAAAGATTAATAAATATTCTTAATTATTTTCATAATGACTGTATATTCCATTTAGATGTTAAACCAGATAATATATTACTTCATGAAGAATATCAATTTTACTATTCAAAAGAAAATATACAATAGGAATATACAATAGAAAGTGGATTACAGATGTTAAGGGAATAATTATCAAACGAATAAATATAAATGTATGATATCAAACCAGATTATTTGAATCTCCAATATATTCTTAGTAGGTATAAAATTGAATAACCTAATGAGATTATTAGAATAACTAATTTAAGGTTCCCTCTAATAGAGGTACATTAATTAATCTATTGGATTGAAAAATGGCTTCGTTTTTAAAATAGGTCATAATTCAATCCACAAAATATCTATGTAAAAAAAGGGATTAAAATTTGTTTTTGTGATTTTGGCCTTGCTAGAAAATTTAACAGATAAGATATTGATAGACCAATTTTTGAATATGGATTTTATAAGACTCCCTATTAAATTTTAGGAGGAATTGTTTAGTAGTAGTAATAAATAGAAGCATGGAAGATTGCAAGATAAGAAGATTTATTTAGATTAGGAATCACCTTGTGCTATCTATTGAATACAAATCAACATATTTAATTTACAGACATTAGATTTGACCTACAGAATTAGTAAATTCTCTTAAATTTCCTTTAATAAACATACAATGAATAAAACTTTAATCTAAGAAAAATTAGTATTGAGGATTAAGAAAAACTCCTTCAATACAAATCATTTATTAACTAGCTGAGTAGTTAATAAGAAGTAATTCAAAATTAATTTGGTACTTAAAATAATCCAATTTATCATTTTCTCAATATGATTATTGAAATGTTAAGTTTCTCATTCACACCATCCAATTATTTTTATGTTAACCAAGAAAATTAAGAACTACCATTAAATCATATTAAACATGTAAAAGGAATCTGTAAAATATTAGAGAATTTGTAAAGAGTTTGAATATTATTAATTATGTTAATTTTTATAATTGCTTTTGTTTAATCATTAGATATATAACTCATTAATTTGCAATAAGTTTACTATAGTGTCCCAATTACAGCCAATAATTTTACTTATAATTTAATTGTGGATACAGGAAGTGATACTCTTTGGATATTTGGAAAATAAAATAATAGGAGAAAATATTATGAATGTAATTAGTGTCAAGCTATTATGCAAAAGAGATTAGATTATGGTTTGGGAAGCATTTATGGTACATAATTCACATAATTATTTGAATTTGCAAATCGATCATTGAATTTATCAGTTGTAGAAGTTCAAATAGTTTAAGATTTAGATTCTTTAATTGCAGATGGAATTATTGGTTTAAGTAAATAATATCCTGATTCTGATGCTAACCTTATTGATCTTTTATATAATCATAAAATCATTGATTCAAAATAATTTGGATTATTACTTGATGATTAAATATGTTCTGTTAATTCTTTATTGACTTTAGGTAAACCTAATTAATCTAATTATGTGGGATAATTATAATATATTAATACAACAAAGAGTGAATTATGGAATGTGTATGCCAATTCTGTATTTATTTTTAATGGTACACATTAACAAATGTTAGAGTCAAATAAATAATTAATCTTGTTTGATAGTGGCACATCTAAAATTATGTTGTCATCTAAAAAGTTTCATAGTTTACATAACATTTTTAACGATGATTATAATTTAAATTGCGAATAAGTAAAACATAATTATTTTCATGAATTAGTATGTCATTTTACTACTTAATTTCCACATCTAATTCTTAATATAAATTCTTAATTAAATTTAACTTTACTTCCTTAAGATTACATATCCTATTGTGGATACAATTATTTTTTATAATATAGATGTTATTTGAATTTCTAAAATTTAGACAATGATGATGAAATCATTCTAGGAGTAGTATTTCTATAGAAATATTATACACATTATGATTTATAAACTTAATAAATAGGCATTGCATAATCAAACTACTATAGTAATAATTTTTTTATAAATTTTAGAAAGAGACAAGATAAACTTGACTTAATTGGGAAATTAATACAATTATAACATGCTCTATCTCTCTTTAATGTCCATTCCTATATTAATATTATTTATGATTCTAAGCATGAATATTATAAAATGGAGGTAGAATTAAGATTAGATATCCTAAAGTAATGAAAGTAATCATTAATCAAGAGGGTAAGAATAAGAAATGGAACCTATTAAATTTTCGGTTTAATCGGCAAGATGATTATAAATTTACTTATTTTAAATAAGTTTATTATATATTCTCCCAATATATATCTAAATTAACATATCTTATTCGTGTTATTAAAGGATTTAGAGGCAAGACATTTCATAAATAAAATAAAATATCATAATGTCATTCGTTCTTGACCCATTACCATATGCTTAGGATGCCTTGGCTCCACATATTTCAGCAAATACCATAAGTTTTCATTATGGAAAACATCATGCTGGATATGTCAACAAATTGAATGAATTAACAAAGGGAACACCATATGAAACTCAAAGTCTTACAGATGTTGTAAAGAATACTTTTGGAAATCCAGCCACAGTTGCAATATTCAATAATGCAGCTCAAACATGGAATCACACGTACTTTTAGAAAATTAAAACATTAGGTTTTATTGGAGAAGTATGAAACCATAAGGTGGTGGTGTTGCAACAGGATAAGTTAAGGATTTGATATTATAAAGCTTTGACAGTTTAGATTCTTTCAGCAAGGCATTTACAGATGCAGCTTTAGGATAATTTGGATCAGGGTATAAGAATATTCTTAATTCTCAATAGATGGACTTGGCTAGTAGAGAAGGATGGAAAAGTGAGTATTGTAAAGACATCAAATGCTGACAACCCCATTACTCAAGGATACAATCCCTTGATTACATTAGATGTTTGGGAACATGCATATTATTTGGACTTTTAAAATAGAAGAGTCGATTATGCAAATTTGTTTTTAACTAATTTAGTCAATTGGGATTTTGCTAACTAAAATTTGGTTAACAAGGCACATTTATGAAATATTATAATAATCATAGAAGCATTAATATTAAAATTTAATTATGAGGCCTTCTTTAAATTATTTGAGATAATTAAGAAATTAAATAGTATGGTCTGCATCAGCTATTGGATTGACCACTTTAACCTAAACAAATTTTTGCACAACCAAAGAATACTATTTCAATTATGGATCCCATATGATACCTCATCCTGAAAAAGTTCATAAAGGAGGTGAAGATGCTTTATTTGCAGATAAAAAGATCCTTGTTGTAGCAGATGGTGTTGGTGGATGGGCTGATGTAATTGATATTATTGATAAATTGAATTTAGTTGGGTATTGATCCAGGATTGTATAGCAAAGAATTATGTAAAAAATTAGAAGAAGCCTTCAAATAGAATCCTGAAGATCTAAAGAATCCTAAAAAATATATTATTGCTGCTCATAAGGTGACTAAAGCAAAGGGTAGTACTACTGTTTGTGTAGTATCAATAAATTAAGGTGATTTGAGATCTTCTTTAGTTGGAGATTCAGGATATGCAATTTATCGTAAAATTGATGATAAATATCAATTAAATTTCAAATCTACAGAATAATAGAAGTCATTTAATTTTCCATATCAAGTATATTATATTAATATATTATAGATTGGAAGTGAAGGAGATAATCCAAATGTAGCTACTGATGAAACACATAAGATTTAGGTTGGAGATTTAGTAGTCTTGGGAACTGATGGATTATTTGATAATATGTCAGCTTAATAAATTCAAGTTGTTATTGAAGATGTTACTAAAACTGAACCTAATAATCCATAAGCTTTGGCAAAATCTATTGCTAATTATGCATATAGATTATCTTTGGATCCTAAATACAATTCACCATTTGCTCAACATGCCAAATAGAGTAGATTAAGATATATGGGAGGAAAGAGTGATGATATAACAGTGATTGTAGCATTTATTAATGAATAATGATTTATTAATAATTAGCATATCTAATTGATATGAAATACGTTAAATCTATATTTGAATCATTTCAAACACTCATATAAAAATTATCTTGTTTTTAATTATTATATATCAATATACTAAGTTTATATCTAATAATTATCATATATTGATAATATACTAAATATGTTCTAATTTAAGAATAATAATTAAATTCTTTGAATATTGTATAAAATTGGAATAAAAGTATAAGTTTATATAATAATTGAAAAAATCTTCTAAGATTTTATGAATAGACTTCAAAATTTTATATATATTAAAATAATTAAAAGTATATTTATTTGAATAATCTTAATAATTGATATAAATATCTTTATATCTTATTTGTACATTATTAATCTTATTCAGATGCAAAAAATCTTTGGAATAAATTATTTGTTTGATAATATATGTTAATAAATAGATATGAATCAAACTCAATTGTTTTTATATCTAGATTAGCTATGAAACCTAAATATTTTCGAAACATTTCAATAGATAATCTTAAATTTATTTTGATAAGATTTTAAATAATTTTAATTAATCAATATTATACATTTTATTAACAAAATGGCATAATATATTTTATATTATGATTGACTTCTAGGGGATAGCTGTAATATGAAAAAATGAAATATCTCTTAGTTAGATTAAATATTATGATTAGTCAACTATGTAATATATGAGATATATGGAATAATTACGCAATATTGAGAATTTAATTGATATATAGAAGTATATGAGTATTAATTTATAATTGTGTATAATATAATCATATTACTGAATAAATTTTGTCTATGATACTCCTTTTAATAATTTTATTATTTTTAATACAAATGGGGGAGCTTATTGTAACAATAACAACATGGGATAAGCCGAATTATGAATTGTTTGATGGAGAATCACAAAATTATAGAATATAAGAATATTTGATAAATGAACCTGGAATATTTTGTAGAAATGGGGAAAATGAAACATTTTTTGATTAGAATATAAGTAGAAAAGATGGAGTAAGGACTCTATTCAATGTCAGAATTGACGATGGTAGTATTTGGCCACTGCATTGTAGGATAATTCGTTATTGGAGATAAAGATAAGATTGAAGATTTATGGATTCAGTCTAAGAATGAGTAACAAATAAGACAGAATGATGTGATAAAGTTAGGGAAGAAAGTGTTAAAAGTGCTTAGCATTAGCAATGAAAACAACTTACATTTGACTCATTACCAAAATGTAGCTAGTCAAATTGAAAATGTAGAGGCCTCATTATTTGAGTCATCAAATATGTGCAGAATATGTTTGGGACATACATGCAACACATCTAATCCTTTGCTTTCATTATGTCGTTGTTGTGGTAGTACCAAGTACGTACATTACGATTGTCTAAAGACTTGGCTATTTGGGAAAATGTAAACGAAACAAACTCAATATTGTACTGAGTAACAAACATACAAAAAATTTAGAATAAATGCTAAGAGTGTCAGATGTGAAATATGCTAATCGTTCTATCCTTCCATAGTGTACACAGGTACAAACGTGTTAGCATTGTATAATCTCGAAAATCTAAAATATCATGTTGTGTTAGAAGATATAGAAAATTAGACTATACTAGTATTGAATTTTAAAGATTTAACAACTTTGACAGTTGGAAGAGGTCATGAGAGCAATGTTAAGATAAGTGAAATAACGATTAGTAGAACTCATCTTGCATTTGTTGTAAGGTAAATATTATAAATTATATATATAAAGGAATGATAAGTTATATATTGAGGATAAGAATTCTAAGTTTGGAACTTTAATTAAATTATAAAAAGCAAGAAGAATAGAGAAAAATGAGATTCTATTTTTGTAATCGGGAAGGAGCAGAATAATGATAAAACACAAAGCAAAACCAAAAAGATGTGCGTTACTTTGTAATTTTCTTGAATGATATATAATTAACTTATGATGTATGAAGAATATGATGATTCTCCTCTCTAATTTATAAAGTCTATTCGTATCTACTTGAATGGAGATTCTTCTAAGTACTTGGATTTGAAGATTGCTTAAAATTCTAATTGGAGTGACATTTAAACACAATTNTATAATTGTGTATAATATAATCATATTACTGAATAAATTTTGTCTATGATACTCCTTTTAATAATTTTATTATTTTTAATACAAATGGGGGAGCTTATTGTAACAATAACAACATGGGATAAGCCGAATTATGAATTGTTTGATGGAGAATCACAAAATTATAGAATATAAGAATATTTGATAAATGAACCTGGAATATTTTGTAGAAATGGGGAAAATGAAACATTTTTTGATTAGAATATAAGTAGAAAAGATGGAGTAAGGACTCTATTCAATGTCAGAATTGACGATGGTAGTATTTGGCCACTGCATTGTAGGATAATTCGTTATTGGAGATAAAGATAAGATTGAAGATTTATGGATTCAGTCTAAGAATGAGTAACAAATAAGACAGAATGATGTGATAAAGTTAGGGAAGAAAGTGTTAAAAGTGCTTAGCATTAGCAATGAAAACAACTTACATTTGACTCATTACCAAAATGTAGCTAGTCAAATTGAAAATGTAGAGGCCTCATTATTTGAGTCATCAAATATGTGCAGAATATGTTTGGGACATACATGCAACACATCTAATCCTTTGCTTTCATTATGTCGTTGTTGTGGTAGTACCAAGTACGTACATTACGATTGTCTAAAGACTTGGCTATTTGGGAAAATGTAAACGAAACAAACTCAATATTGTACTGAGTAACAAACATACAAAAAATTTAGAATAAATGCTAAGAGTGTCAGATGTGAAATATGCTAATCGTTCTATCCTTCCATAGTGTACACAGGTACAAACGTGTTAGCATTGTATAATCTCGAAAATCTAAAATATCATGTTGTGTTAGAAGATATAGAAAATTAGACTATACTAGTATTGAATTTTAAAGATTTAACAACTTTGACAGTTGGAAGAGGTCATGAGAGCAATGTTAAGATAAGTGAAATAACGATTAGTAGAACTCATCTTGCATTTGTTGTAAGGTAAATATTATAAATTATATATATAAAGGAATGATAAGTTATATATTGAGGATAAGAATTCTAAGTTTGGAACTTTAATTAAATTATAAAAAGCAAGAAGAATAGAGAAAAATGAGATTCTATTTTTGTAATCGGGAAGGAGCAGAATAATGATAAAACACAAAGCAAAACCAAAAAGATGTGCGTTACTTTGTAATTTTCTTGAATGATATATAATTAACTTATGATGTATGAAGAATATGATGATTCTCCTCTCTAATTTATAAAGTCTATTCGTATCTACTTGAATGGAGATTCTTCTAAGTACTTGGATTTGAAGATTGCTTAAAATTCTAATTGGAGTGACATTTAAACACAATTGGATTAGAAATTCACAAAGTTTAAAGAAATGAGACTCTTTACATAATAAGGAGTAGAAATCTTTTAAGATGATGTTAAATTTTTTAAGGATGGCTAATCATTTTATGCATCTCGAGGAGGTACAATTTAAATAGATGTTTAATTTTAGATGAGTTCGATCCTTATTCTCCATTTTCTCAATATGAAACAATAAAGAAATTAGGAGAAGGAGGGTTTGGATGTGTTACATTGGCCAGACATCGTATAACTGGAGAGTAAGTTGCAATCAAGGTAATAAAAATGATGGGAAATGCTTAAGACATAGAACTAAATTTTAGAGAAGCAGAAGTATTAAGATCTTTGAGTCACAAGAATATTGTAAAGGTTTTCAATTCATATGCATTAAAAAATACTTAGATGGCTGTAATAATGGAATATTTAGAAGGTGGAGAGTTGGCAGAAAGATTAAGATAGAAAGGTAGATTTTAAGAGGAAGAAGCATGCAAATATTTTAAATAAATTGTTAGTGCAATAGCTTATTGTCATTAAAAGAATATTGTTCATAGAGATTTAAAAATGGAAAATTTATTATTTTGTTCTCTAGATTCTGATGATTTAAAAGCAATTGATTTTGGAATTGCAGGTCTCTAATGTCCAACTAAT